TTAAGAGTTAAGGGATGGGAGGACTTCTGTGTCACTTGGCATCCATCAGCCCCTACCCTGGCCACGAATTGCAGGTGCAAGCCTGCAGGCACCCAAGGCTCCTGGGAAGATGGTGAGGATCTTGGCCAATGGGGAAATCGTGCAGGATGATGACCCCCGAGTGAGAACCACAACCACATCAAGAGGTAGCACTCCTCGACAGGTAGGCACCCATCCCTGTGGACAGGGACAGCTGGCCTCCTTTGCAGGGTTGCTCCTAGCTCCCAGAAGTCTCTCTTACTGGTCATTAACCTTGGCTGGTCTGAAGCTCTCTTTGCAGAGACCTGGGGGGCATGAGGGTCAAGACATGGGAAATGCATTGAATTATTTCCCAGATGCCCATCTTCCAGTTTCCCCTCCTCTGGGCAGCTTCTCCTCCCCAGACTTCAAGCCTAAGAGCTTATGCTCCTTTAACCTGGTTACAAACCCCACTGCAGCTAGCATGTGTCTTTTAAGAGGCTGCTAGGAGAGAGAGAAGCTGGAGAGGAAGTGGAGAGGGTGAGCCTATGGGCACTGTATAATCATTTTAAAGAAAGGGGTGATGAGTGTTGAAAATGCCTGCCCCAGAGCCATGCCCTGCAGTCCAACCTGGCTCAACCACTTGCTCTCTTCTCCGTCCTGGGTACCTTCTCCCTGGGCATGATGTGGGCAGTACAGACTGGCATTTTCTGTGCTCCGAGAGCTTGTGACTTGTTTGTTGGGATTCTAATGGGTGGCATCCTGGGATTGCTGAAACAGGAGGGTGTGGCCCAGAGTGGCTATAGGGGAGGGAGGGCAGGACCCAGCTTAGACGAGTTTGCCTCCTGGCTGGTGCTGCAACTCTAAGGACACTTCCTCTGGATTAATTTCTCTCTCTCTCTCTGTTTTTACCTTCCAGAGTTTTCTCAACAGGGGCCATGGTGCCCATCCAGGGGGCCTTGGGCCCCGTCAGCAGCAGGCAGGTATCAGGCTGGGTGCTGCTCAGTCCCCCTTCAATGACCTCAACCGGCAGCTGGTGAACATGGGCTTCCCACAGTGGCATCTTGGCAACCATGCTGTGGAGCCAGTGACCTCCATCCTGCTCCTCTTCCTGCTCATGATGCTTGGTGTTCGTGGCCTCCTGTTGGTGGGCCTGGTCTACCTGGTGTCCCACCTGAGTCAGCGGTGACCTCTGGGGGTTGATTGATGGGGGTGGGCGTGTGGAGAGGGACTTGCTGGGCCTTGATGTAAGAGCAGGCACGTTTGGAGAGGATCTATATGGTGCCCAGAGAAGGGGCACAGGTGTGTGTTTGCCCCTTGTGTTAAGTAAGCATGAGGCAGAGGGAAACTCCAGTCCAGCATTTCCAAAGTCTGGGGTGGGTACCCTGGTTCCTTTGAGATGTTTTTAGGTGGTATAGGACCTGCATTGAGTGACACAAAATCAGAGCAAGAAAGAGATTCCCTTTCCAATTCTCTTTCAGTCCTTTTATGGCAAGAAGAAAGTTTCAGCGTAGTGCCAATATGTTCTAATGCCTCTGGAAGACATCTGACTTCCCCTTTAATGAGGGAGGGGGACAAGGGGTTAGGGCAGGGGAAAATCTCCCAGACTTTTATAGCACTGTTTTGTTTCAATGATGTATTTTTATTGGCTATCATTTAGGACAAGTGGTACTGGCATTCTATTTATTGTGACATTTTCAATAAAGAGATTTAAGTAAAAATGAGTCCATATGAGGAAATTCATAAATAATTATCCAGCCTTACGCAGATCTGGAAGACATGGAGAAGGTAGATTAGGAAAGATTGTGTTGGGGAACAGGTAGCAGCAGGCATTTGACCTTGGAGAGTGGTTTGTGATATTTTCTCGATAGGGTCCTAGAGGTCTAGGTAAATTCCAGGGGAGGTCCAAGTAAAGTCTGGGTTCAGACCACTTGGCTGGTGCTTGGATAACTTCTAGGCTCATTCTGAGATGCTGGACTTGAAGGTTAGCTTTGTGGGAAGGTCTTCTGGCCAGAAAGGCAGGTGAGGCTGTAGGGTCAGGAGAGCTGGGGTGCCAAGAATACATCCTGACCAGAGGCAGCCCAGCCCCCTTCAGCCTCCTGAGGCCTTGCCATGTCTGGCTGCAGCACGGTGCTCAGAAGGCAGTGGTGTGGGTAGAGGATGACCTGCTTTTCGTGTGAGGAGGCCTGGAGTTTTGTCTGATGAGTCCTGGGTCTGTGTGGGGGGCCCTGTGGCGAGGAGGAGGTATTGGGTAGTTGTGGCTCTGGGCCCGTGGCGGGGATGAGGGCTGTTTATAGGTCAGAGAGAGGCTGGATGAACCTGAAGATGACTTTGCCTTCCCCAGCACCATATTTCTCACCCTCTTCTCTGCGTCCTCAGGTTTCGTTGTTTAAGGGAAAGAGGCACATTCAAGAGTTGCCAGGCCTGGAAGAAGATAGAGGGAGGGAGATGGATTCTACCCCTCCTCAGAGAGCCTGCTGTGCTGCTCAGAACAGAACCTTCTCCTGATGGTTCTGCGGCCCTTGAGGGGCTGGTGGCCTTTATCTCACACATTCCTGGGGGAGCTTGTGCTGTTGGAACAGGACTCTTAAAGAATGTTTTCTGTGTCTTTATTTCCTGGCAGCGGTGGGAATACATGTTCCCTTTATGATGTAGATAGAGAACAGAAGGGAGCTGGGTGCTTCTGGGGGTGGGGTCTGGCTCCTAGCATCTGTGCTGGGTCTGGGTAAGGAGAGGTGGGTGCTCAGCTCTGCTGGTGGCATCTCCTTCTGCCCTGGCACATCTGCCTACCCAGCCCCAAGCCCCTGAGGCCCTAGCCCACCAGCCACAGGGAAGTTCCTGCCCCACAACCCACTCCCCTTCAATTCCCTTCCCCTTTCGGCTTGTCTCTCAGGGCTGGGTTTCCCCTTTCAAAGGTATGGGACTCTCTGGAGAAATAAATTGTAAGTGGTCCCTGAGTTATAAAATACCGTTAGGGGTTATGAAATATGAGTCTACAAATTCAAGGCTTAGAACAGTATCTTTTTCTAGAATTCCATGTCTAATGCCTAAACCAAGCCCTTTGAGGAGAACTGGGGTACTCCAGGGTAGGCCAGGGTAAGCAGGGCTTTGCAGTAGGAGAGGGCTGCCCTCACTTCTGGGCAGGGTGCTAGAAGTGAGAGGAGTGTCTGGCAGCCAAGGCCTGTGTGTCTAAGAAGTTTTGGACACATGGGGCAGAGGTGTCTTCAAAGGCTTGGTTGGCCAGCCTGAGCACCAGGGGCTGGGGACTAGAAGTAAGTTGATGGAGACTAAGAAGGGGTGACTTCTTGTGCCTTGCTGGCTGAGCTCCACCCTTAGAGCTTCTCGGGTTACATTGAGCTGTTGGCTCTTCCTTGAGCAACACATTTCCCTGTGCCCCTCAGGATCTGGGCATTTGCTGACCTCTCCTCTGCCTGACTTCTGAGCCCAGGGTGCTGGGACAGCCTGTCCCCAGACAGACAGTGTGGTGTAGGGAGGTGTCCCCTGGGGTTGTATAACTGTGAGCAGCCCGGGGGCTGTGTCCCTCCTGTTTGAATGCCCTTGGTGGGGCTCTCATCTCTCTGAGGACTCCTGAGTGCAGACACATTCTTCATAGGCAGATGTGCCTTGTTGCTGCAGGTGGCCAGATGCAGAGCTGATGGCTTTCTGAGTGAGCCATGGCTGCTTTGGCTTAGAGCTGTCCTAACTGGAAGCTCACTGAGAGGACTGGGCTCTTCCTCCTCTCCCCAGAGCCCACTGTGTGACAGGACCCCCCAGACTTGACTGCTTTGCTGGTTCTAATCCCACCCAAGAGGGCAGATTTCAAGGAAGGTTTCTGCTAATCTTCAAGGCTAATCCTCAGGGCCCTGCGTCTATGTGTCAGGTTGGATTTGCAGCCCAGCTGCCTGGAGAGAGCTACCCTTACTTCCACCCACGTGAGGTCCCACCAGGCCCTGCTGTCACTGTGGGGCTGCAAAGGAGAGCACCCCCTTCCATGTGGTCGTTTTGATTCCCTTGCTGGCACCACCTGGTGAGTGAGCTCCTGAGATCTGACTTGTGGTTGTTCCTCCTCCATCTCTGGGCCCATTTTCCTCCTGGGCTGGCCCCTCCACAAGTTCCAAGATCCTGGGTTGTAAGTAAGCCCTCCCTCTCTACCATCCAGCCATCCCTGGAGGTGGGGGCCACATTCTCTGCTCCTCAGAGTGAGATACCAAGCCCCCTAAGTTCTCCCAAGGAGCCCTCTCCTGGCTCCTTCCTCCCTGGGACCAGGGCGTTTGGGCATAGGCAAGGGATCAGGCTTCTTAACCGGTGACTGTGACTGTAGCTGTGTGAGTCTGAGGGGAAGTCCTGGGGCAGTCAGTGGTCAGAGCCTCTGCCTAGTTGGAAGCTTGAACCCAAGCACAGGAAGAAAGCCTGCTGTAGGAGGCACCTGTGAGAAATACCTTGGAGATAAGGGATTGGGGAAGGGATTTAACATAATTTAACATAATTTAACATTATTTAACATCATTGGTCTCTCATTAAAGAGCATGAAAGTATGTACATCATGGCACAGCAGTCTGCACACCTGTGGTGTATCACTTCTATAAATAGCCTCCGGAGAAGCTACTGCTCAGACTAAGACTGACAGACTGCTGCTGAGATGCTCGCTCCTACTAATATCGACCATGACTTCTAAGGTGCTTCGGCACCTGAGACCTAAACAAGACCTACCCCAAGTAAGCTGGAGCAGCAGCCCATGTCCAGACAGTTGAGTGGGCTGGGGCTGGAGGCCTAGCGTCCTGGCTCTGATGAGGGTGGAGGCCGGAGACATGGCGTTGCGGGACCCGACAGCCTGTCCCATGCCCTGTGGCTAACTGGTCAGCAGAGGAAACCTGTTTGCATCCTCAGCTCTGCTCTTCGTGGGTCCATGACCTCGGACAGTTCCCTTAGCCTCTCAAGCTGTGGTTTCTTCATCATTAAGACAGGCTGCTGATCTGAGCCCTGCCTGCCTTTCAGGGGGCACAGTGGGGCATGGTGGGTGAGAGACAGGCTGTGGGAAGGAGGGACTGTGCCAGTGCCAGTTTTTGGACATACCACACCTTGATCTGTACCAGGGGCCTCAGCTCCAAAGTGGCTACTGTGTCCCAGGAGCCCTGGGTGGGAAGGTGCTGGGCTTTTAAGACTGTGTTACCTCCTCCCCAGCTGTTTGGGAAGAAATGCAGCTGCTTCACTGCACTCCTGGAAGCTGAGGGGCTTGTTGGTCTTAAGTGTCAGGGCTAGAAGATATTTGTTGAGAGCACATGGGGTGCCCAGCCCTGTGCTAAGCACTTTATGTTATGTAATTGTCACTAGAAAAGTATGACATAGGAACTGTTACTATCATCTTTATTTCACTGCTAAGGACACTAGCGGGTTTGAAATGGGTGGAGCTAGGATTCAAACAGGCCCACAGCCATGCTCTTGGCCCCTCCTCTACGTCACCCACATCAGCATCACCCAGAAAGCTGTTACAGATACAAATTGCCAGGCCTCACGACCTGCTGGGACCCCTCAGGACCTGCCTGCACCACTGTCAGATTAGCTCTGTGAGGCTTGAGGGCACAGAGGTGGGTGTGAGGGGGCTGCTGTAGCTGCCCAGCCCTGGGCCACAGTCCCTGTGTCGGGGTGTAGCTCTTTCCCCTGCATTCCCACATGCATGATATTTTCACTGCAAATGGACACAAGTGATCCATTTTAGGGTCCCTGAGGGGCAGTGTGGGGATTGGGGAGGGGGTGGCAGAGCTCTGCTGCCAACTAGATGGAGAGAAGCTGCAGGTCTCCCGGAGAACAGACAAGCTCACCTCTGCTCACGCTGCTGCCCAGGGCCTGAGGGGGTCAGCACAGGGGACAGAAAATTCAGTAAGCAGAGAGAGTGAGCTTTGATGGCATTGCAGAGGGTGTGTGTGTGTGTGTGTGTGTGTGTGTGTGTGTTTTCTGGTTTGGGGTGGGAAAGGTGAAGCTACATGACTTTGGGGACCCAGAGCTTGGAAGGAGAAATTTGAAGCTGCTCAAGGTGAAGCCTGAGACCAGCTGCCTCAAGGGGCCTGGCAGGGGGAGCATGGGGCTGGGAGCCAGGGCTGGTCTGTACTCTGGGCTGTGGGGGCCTTCCTGGGGGCCCTGTGCTTGCTTCCTGCCCCAGCTCCATCACTGTTAGTGTCCACAGCACAGCCCA